GTGTGTGTGTGTTGGGCACGTGTGTGTGTGTGTGCACGTGTGTGTGTGTTGCTTGCTTGCTTGGCGCCTACTTTCGTCGGCCTCGCTTCTCACTCTCTTGCTTGTTGACACCACACCGTCCGCTTGCCTTGTGCAGTACACTGTGTAAACGGCTGGTTGATCGAAAGCTCTTCATTCTCCCACGCAGCGATGACCCGCTCGGTATGGGTCAATGTTGGTGTGCATGGATCGTGTGATGTGTGTGTGTGTGATGTGTGTGATGTGTGTGTGTGTGTGTTGTGGTGTGGTGCACCTCATGCATGCGAACGTGTGCTCGTATGCCACTGAGATCCTGGTATCTTCATATGCCAGCACAACGCGCCCCTCTCCACCTCACCCACCTCACAACCAACCACGCGTGCCTTGTGCAGCCTGGGACTTGGCCGTGTTTGTCAGTGCGGGTGTGTACGCGCATGCCCTCATCAAGATGCAGCTGCTCCTTCCACCGCTCTTCCCCAACGATCGCGCACTCCCTGTCAGTGCGTCTCATCTCGTGCTTGCGTGCGTGCGCGCGTGGCTAGTTATGGAGACACACACACATGTGCTAAAGCCGTCGTGCAACACACCTTGCTTGTGCTTGCCAACAGCAAACTGCCTTACGTGCTCACTAGCACCTGCGCACCACCGCATTTGCTCTTGTGCTGCCTAGATTGTCCGCGTACTGTCAAAGCTGATCCATCCTCTCGTTGACAGCGAGGGCACCTTTGATCTCACGCACGAAGCGTTTGGTTCCCGACAAATATGGACGTGCGTGCGTGCGTGTGTGCGTGTGTGTGCGTGTGTGTGCGTGCGTGTGTGTGTGCGTGTGTGTGCGTGTGTGTGTGTGTGTGGTGCGTGCGTGTGTGTGTGCGTGTGTGTGCGTGTGTGTGTGTGCGTGTGCGTGTGTGCGTGCGCATGCCTGCTGTTGCACCTTTGCTTGGTGTACCAAACCATCAAACCTTTCCACCCTCACGCTCACTCCCACCATCTCCCTCAACCACGCATACACCCTGCCTCAACCGCGTGCGCAGGTCCTCGGACCGACTGTGGCTGCTCCTGTCGCAGGTGTGCGATGCGCTTGCGTCCGTGACCATTGCCAGCATTGCGCAGCACCGGTATGGGGGCGACGGCGTTGAAGATGTGCGCCGGGCGCAGCTGGACGTGGACGAGTGCACGCGCGATGCAGACTTTCACGCATACACGCAAGATAGCGACGACTTTACCATCAGGTATTTTCTCGCAGGGAGTGTGTGTGTGTGTGTGTGTGTGTGTGTGTGTGCGTGTGCGTGCGCGTGAGTGAGTGGTGTGTGTGTGAGTGAGTGGTGTGTGTGTGTGTGCGGAACTTTGTAAGCGCACGTGTACGGTGCACTGTATCATGCACGGAGGGGGGGGGGGTGCTGCAAGGGCATTGCACCTCCAAGTTGCAGACGTACTCGTGAAAACGAGCGCTGCACATCCCTTGACCATCGCCGACTTCTCACGCCCCCGCCTTTTTCCTCAGATTTGGGTCGTGGAGTGACGACTACAGCGATGCTCTGACCACCATCCTGCAGCGCGGACCCGACGGTGATGATGATGGTGATGGTGATGGTGATGATGATGGTGATGGTGCCGGAAACAATGGCGCTGGCAATTAAGGGTCAGCTGTGGAGCAGGGACGGCCACAAGACACACACGTGTCACCATCTGTAGTGTGACGTTGTGACGCATGCACTTTGCCCTGCTCGTGACTCCCCTCACTGCATGGCGACACTGCACTCCCCCTCCCCCCCCTCTCCAAATTATTTTCTCGGCGCGTTTGTCGTGGAGACGAGCTTTGAATTTCGTTAGGACAGATGGCACGTGCATCACATCACATTATAAACGACCCTCTATGTGTCACGATGCAAAGTGCCAGTCGTGATTGTTTACTGCTTCCAACCATTAATTGCTGCTGGCCAAGATGACGTTGCACAACTTCAACCACAACCACAAGCACCACAATTACAATCACCACAACCACACCCATCACAACCACAACATTTACAGTCACAACCACAGTCACAACAATACTCACACAACAATTACAACCACCATCACAACCACATCAGTGTTCGCTCGCCGCGTCGATGAGCGCAGCCACTTCCTCCTCGTACCCAAACCGCACAATGTCCTCCTTGTGTGCAGCCACCACGTGCTTCAGCACACCGGGATGCGACTTTACGCCATAGTACGACGCCGCCTTGGTTGATGCGCCCGTGCGGTGGAACACCGTGTTGCTTTGCAGAAACGCCTCGTCCCGCTTCTCGCCCCACCCGTTGTTGACAAAGTCGCTCGGCACGTTGCCGCGTGACACCATCTCCTTTGCCAGACGCTGCATGCCATCGCCCTCCATATGGGCAACGCGGTCATACTTCCACCGCCGCAACCCGCAGAAGCACGACTGCTGCATCCAGTGCTCGTCCCCACGGCACCCTACCGCCACCAGTAGCGCGTGAAATGCGCAACAATTGAACAAATGAGAACCAGAGAAGGAAGCCCTCGACACAAGCAAGCAAACAAACCAACCAACAAACAAGCACACAACCAAACAAGCAAATGCATACACACACACACACACGCACGCACAAACAAACCAACAAACAAACAACGAAATGCATACACACACGCACACGCACACGCACAAACGAACAACCAAACAAGCAAATGCACACACACCCACGCAACCCCCTACCCACCTGCATGGACGTTGTTGAGTGCAAACTTGTCCCACTTGATGTTCCCCCAGTGATGAACGCTGTTGGGGCCATACTTGTCCTTCCATGCACTCAGCACGCGCGTGAGTGGGTTGCGCACCACAACCGCCTTGAAGTAGGAAGGGTCGTTCATCAGCTTGTCTGCCTCCAGCGTGGAATATGCGCTGAGGTAGGTGAGGCCAGACTGGCGGCCGCCGTAGTTGTGCGTGATGCGCTCGTCGTTCGTGTCCCAGTCCTTAAACCCCTTCAGGCGCCGCATGAACTTGCGCCACGCCGTGCACGCCGCCTTGGTGATGGTGCACAGGATGATCTTGTGCTCGTGATCGACAATCGGCGCCCAATGCCCGCTGCGTTCTGTCCAATATTCCCACGGACTTGTGGGCAGGTCTCCATCCTCCCACTTCAGCATCGCCAGCGCACTGGCCGACGGCGACTGCCGCTCTTCTGTCTGCTGCAGCTTTCGCATCGAGCTGCTGTCCCCTGTCGTTGCATTGCTACTGCTCATGCTGCTCCTGTTCCTGTCGTCGATGCTGCTCTTGCTCCCACCCTTCTGTTGTTGTTGTTGTTGTTGTTGTTGTTGTTGTTGTTGTTGTTGTTGTTGTTGTTGTTGTTGTTGTTGTTGTTGTTGTTGTTGCTGTTGTTGCAGCTCCAGGACATCCTGCAAGGATGGTGGGTTGTATGGTTTCTCGTATCGTGCTGGCAACGCCACAGGCGCAAGACCGTGTTTTCGCTGATCCTCCTCTGCATCTGGGCTTCGCCGTGCAAGTAAGCCAGACGTGTGCCCCAGCGAATTTGACGACAACGACAACGACGACGACGACGACGATGATGATGACGATGACGATGGGCCAAACACTTGCCAGCGCTCATCCTGCATCAGCATTGTGCACACGCCCACGGTCACCACCACCATCACCAGCACCCCGGCAACAACAGCAGGCGTGCTGCTCCATGTTGTTGTTTTCTTCATCGTCGGCGGTTTCGAGGTGATTGTAGAAATACGGCGAATGATTTATATCAAATATCGTCACAACAAGCAACGCTGACGAGGCTGAGGTGTTGTTGTTGAGGTGTTGTTGCGACGTCCCCGACTTGAGGTTTGGTGGGTGCACAGCAGAGTCGGCAACAGCACTTCCACCACTCCCTGGAGTAGTCCGAGGCAAGGAGACACGTTAGCACGAGCCATTCAAGGTGTGCGCGTTAGTGCCGTAGCAGAAACCGTGTTCGTTGTCGTCAGGACAAGAAGAGGCAACACCGAAAATGGCGGCCAAAGCCAAGACCATGAAGACAAAGACCTTGTTTGAGGAGTCGTCGCACTTGCTTGGACTTGGTCTGAAACAAGGCATCCTCTTCCACGACATCAACGCCGGGCAGCCCTGCTTCAAATGCGGTGCGTCAGCCCGGTCGAATGTCGTTTTACGGTCGTGGCCGTGGTGGTTGTGTGTATGCGTGCGTTTGTGGTTGTGTGCACGTGTGTTTCGTGCAACTGTTTTTGTTGTGGCCTACACTTTGTTGTGTTTTGTGTGTGTGTGTGCTTGTGTTGGTGGTTCCGTGCAGTCGTTGGGATGGCGCAAGTGCATTGCGTGCTTTGTGAGTACACAAGCGCTTGTTGTGCTTACGCCATACAAGCTGCGCCCGGCCGTTCACTCATAGCACAGCACTGATGGTTGATGTGTTGCAGGTGATGCGTGTCCTGGGTTTGAGCTGCACTTCTGGCGCAAGTCATGTCGCCATTGCAAGTGCTCTCCCTTCTCACACGAGCCTGTTGACCAGGCCCAAGAAGCAGAGCCCAGCGTGCCTGTAAGAAAGCATTGGTTGTGTGTGTGATATGCGTTTGATGTGTGTGTGCGTGTGTGCGTGTGTGCGTGTGTGTGTGTGTGCGCGCGCGCGTGTGTGTGATGCGTTTGATGTGTGTGTGTGTGTGTGTGTGTGTGTGTGTGTGTGTGTGTGTGTGTGTGTGTGTGTGCGTGTGCGGTTGCAAATGCGCACAAGTTTGCGCACTGTTGTGCCTGCGCACGCCAATCTCTCTTTTTTCCCAAGACCAAGACTGTGCACTCTGCTCACACCTATTGAACGACGCTTGCGCCTTGGTGCACGTTGCTCTTCATGCAAAACGGCAGCAGCAACAGCAGGTTGGTCAGCTGTCCGACACGCTCAGGGGCAGGTTCAACGCCCCGGTCGTCGGCGCCAGCGAGCGCCGCGCCCAGGAGATCAGCAGCCTTGTTTCTGGACACGTGAAGCGCATTCGCGGTGCCCTGGAGCACGCGTCACCGTCCTCGCAGCCCGCCATATCCCGACGGCGCCCGCCACCACAGCTGCCGCAAGATGCACCGCAACAGCAACAACAACAACAACAACAACAACGGCAACGGCAAGATGCACCGCAACAAATGCCACCACCACAGCAGCAGCCGCAGCAGGCGTCTCGTTCGTCGCACGGAATGCCGCTGCCACCGCTGCCGGGGAAGCAGCGGCCCGCTGACTCTGGATATGTGTTCATGACACCGAGCTCACTGCCACAGCAGAAACACCAAAACCAAAACCAACAGCAACAGCAACTGCAGCCGCTTGCACAGCCGCCAATGGCGCAGGAGTACGACGCATATCTGGATGTCATTCCGGAAGACGAGCTGCGACAACAACAACAGCAGCAGCAGCAATCCCGATTCGGGGAGGGGCAGGCCCCACCGCGCCCGCCAAAGCCAGGTCGTGGCGGTGGCAGTGGTGGTGGTGGTGATGATGATGGCGAGGTTCCACAGGCGCACGACGGTGCACCGCCGTATGACACTGTCACTGGGGTGGGGCCACGGCAAGGTGGCCAGCATCCACCGCAACAACACCAGCAGCAACACCAACAGTCACAACAACAACAACAAGAACAACAACAACAACCACAAGAGCAACAAGAGCAATCTGCGCCTGCACGCCGAACGACGGCCGGGGAAGTGGACCTGGTAAGCACGCGAGGAAGGAGGAGGTGTGGCATGGTGGCGTGAAGGGTTGACGGGTTGGCGTGTTGCTTTGGTGTGCATTGACAATGTATGCTAGTTGGTGATGATGTCTTTCTTTTGTCTTTATCCTCGCTTCCTTCTCACTACTACCATGACCCACCACGTCGTCGTGCACAGCTCGGCAGTAAGAATGTCCCGGAACTGACGCCTGATCTTCCACTTGCATGGAAACCAGAGGGGCTATCAAACGAGGAGGTGCCATACACGTTTGTGTGCGCGCGTGTATGTGTGTGCTTGTGTATGTGTGATGTGTGTGCGCGTGTGTGTGATGTGTGATGTGTGTGTGTGTGATGTGTGATGTGTGATATGTGTGACCGTGGCAACTTGTCTGATTTAGCGTGTGCCTCACGCCACCATCGTACTGCACCACACTCCCACCGCGTCGTCACTTGGTCAGGCTGTGGACTTCTTCAAGGCGCCGTATCCGCTGCAGGAGGTGCCCGTCGCCGGCACAGACGGTCCGTACGCACACCGTGATTGTGGTCGTGATCGACATACATGATCATCGTCCTGTTGTGCACATAAATAAGCGCACACAATGTGATTGTACTTGCTCACCCGTCCACCACCACCATGACGACGACGACAACCACCACCACCACCACCACCATCACTGCGCATGCGCGTGTGTGTATGCGCGCGCGCGTATGTGTGTGCGTGTCAGGCGAGCGGCGGTTCCTGATGGAGTTGGAGGAGCAGCTGCCCGCGTACGACTTTGACCCGGAGTTCTGCAGCGGTGAGACACTGCCATCCATCACCAAAGCCACCGACACGTCAGCACCCCTGGCAACGCATGTCACGCATGTTTGGCTGTGTGTGCGTGTGTGTGGCTGTGTGTGGCTGTGTGTGTGTGTGTATGTGTATGTGTGTGGCTGTGTGTGTGCTTCCACTTTCAGTTGCCTGTCCGTGTGTGCCTCTGTGTGTACCCATCTTATTCCCTGCACCACATTAACCTCGCAACGCCGCATCACAACTGACCACGACGACGACGATCACATGCCGTCTGCACGGCAGGTCTCACGCCAGCGGGAGTTCCGGAGTTTGAGGCGCTGCTCAAGCTCAAGTGCGCACTTTCAATGTCGTGTCGTCGTGTCGTCTGTTGTCGTGCTGTGTTTGTCGTGTCGTGTGTCGTGTTGTGTTGTCTGGAGTTGTGGCGCTTTATCTGCCAGCTGCTCACACGCATGTCCCTTTCCCGCCGCACACACACATGTTTGTAATGGCTGTTTTTTCTTGTGGCGATGACAGGGTGCAGTCACACCAGCTTGGGCAGGTGTCGCGCGTGAAGATGGACAGCGTGTGCTACAAGTGCCGTCAGCCGCTCCACGCAAACGACATGCAAGGTGCCACGTGATGATGGTGGCGCTGGTGGTATTCGTGGTGGCGCTGGTGATGCTGGTGATGCTGGTGATGCTGGTGATGCTGGTGATGCTGGTGTCGTGCTGCTTCCGCGCTGGTGAATGTTGAGTGGTGCCTGTGGGAGGCTTCGTTTGTTTTGCGTGTGTGTTCGCTTCGTTCCAACTCTGCCTCTGTATTTCTGTTGCACACTGTCACAATGACACGCCCTTTTTCATTTTATGCAACATGACCCCGGCATCTTTGTTTACGCACCTCACCCATCACCACCACATGACCATCACATGACCGCGACGTCACCATCATCACATGACCATCACATGACCATCACATCACCACATCACCATCATCACCGTCATCATGACCATCACCACGAACAGTGACGATGGCCGTTGCCCCCGGCGAGCGGTACCACCCCTGGTGCTTCCGCTGCGACCAATGCGATCGCGTCCTTGCCGGTGAGGGGGTGAGAAGGGGGAGGGGGAAGGTCCCTGTTGTCATACACGCATGTCATACACGCATGTCATACACGCATGTCATACACGCATAGAGACACGGACGCCGACGTGTGCAGATCATTCGCACCCGCCCGCTCTCCACCCCACCCCACCACAATGACACGCTCCCCTCCCCCTCTTACCCACTGCACCGTACGTGACACCCCCCACCCACCACACACACACACACACACACACACACACACACACACACACACACACACACACACACACACACACACACACACGCAAACCACGACCACGACCACGACTCGTCAGGGCTGAATGCATTTGTGCATGATGACGGGCTGTTGTGCGAGCGACACTTCTCGGACAAGTACAAGGCGCGCTGCGCCGCGTGCGACGAGAGCATCTACGAGACGCAGTTTGTGCAGGCCGAGGACCAGGCTTGGCACGTCGACCATTTCTGCTGCTTTGCGTGCGGTGCGTTGTGTGCATCGGTGTGTATGTATGTGTTTGTTTTTGTTTGCCTGTGAGCGTGCGTGTGTGTGTTGATGTGTGTGGATGTGTGCGTGGCAGGTGTATCCCTGCATGTAACTTGTTGTTGTGCTGCTCACCAACTCCCTTTTTGTTTACACACCCTTCTCCCCAACCACGCCCCACCCCAACACACACACACACACACACACAGACGTGCCTGTGCACGACAAGCCATACATCCCACTGGATGGGCAGCCGCACTGCTCTGCCTGCTTCAACAAGCAGTTTGTGCCCCAGCGCAAGAACAAGCTCTCTGTGCGCCGTGCCCCGCCCCGGCCACCGGCACCGCCCACACCAGACACAGCTGCGCCCTCCGCCACTGTTCCTGCGCCACCGCCAGCCGATGCGCCGCCTCCACGTCCGCAGTCCCGCAAGCCGTCCAGGCGCGCACCTCCACGTGAGTCTGCTGCGCGCGTGAGTGCTTGAGTGTGTGAGTGAGTGAGTGAGTCAGTGAGTGAGTGTGTGTGTGTGTGTGAGTGTGTGAGTGTGTGAGTGAGTCAGTGAGTGAGTGAGTGTACGTGTGGTTGCTCTCTTGTGTGTTGCTGTTTTGCTGTCGGCGACCTCAACTCACCACATGGTTGCACCGTTTGTCGTGCACGCATACTCTCGGTGATCTTCGCCCCTTGCCTTGGATTCAGCGGTCCCACCATCCTGATTTTGCAGCGTGCACGCCGCTTTCCCTGTGTCTCCCAAATGCAAACGCCTCCACACACACACAGACACAGACACAGATACACACACACACACACACACAGACACAGACACAGACACAGACACAGACACACAGACACACAGACACACAGACACACAGACACACACACACACACACACACACACACGAACACACACAACCACACGAACACAGACACACCATCCGTCCGCTCGTTGCTGCTGCTTTTAAACATCGCATGCGTCATTGGGAGAAATTGCTATAATTTCAAATAATTTTCTGCAATGTCCACCTGAGAGTGCGCGTCGCCAGCCACACAGACACAAGCAAGCAAGCAAGAAGCAAGAAGCAAGCGCAGACAGAAGAAGGTGGGTGGTGAGTTATCGCTGCTCGATTTAACAACAGCGTGACAGTGCAGTTGTGGTCCTCAGCCAAGAGCGACATACATGCACATACACACACACACACTCACACATATAAACACACGTACACACACATATTCAGACAGCTGCACGCGTTCACCCAGCCTCTCAGTTCAAAGCCGGTGCGTGCGCATACGACTGCAGCAAGCCGGCCATCATGCCGAAAAAACCGCGTCCTCCCCCCATGAGCATCGACCTCGTGGACGATGACAGCGGGAAGCAAGGGGATCGCAGATCAGGGTGAGTTTGCAAACGCATGCCACCGCACTGTGCTTGAACTGAACCACGTGTTCTCCTTGTTTGAAATGTGTCTGTGTCTGTGCGTGTACGTTTGTGTGTGTGTGTGTGTGTGTGTTGTCATGATTACTGGATGCACGCTGCAGCAGCGCGTGTGCACCGTGATTTGTGGTTGGTCATATTCATGGTGCGCGAGACATAACGCCTCCTCACGAGCTTGTACTTTGTGTGGTCCAACGCAGGAAACTGGCAATGGACCTTGAGCCCGTTCGCCGCGCTCTCGATGGCATGGAAATTGATGCGCAGGAAAAGGCGTCCGTCGAGGCCTTTCTGATCAAGAAAAGCCGCTTCGTGGAGGTGTGTGTGTGTGTGTGTGTGTGTGTGCTCGTGTGCATCGTGTGTCTGCTTGTCGTCTCGCCAACGATCACTGTGTTCGTGCTTGTGCACGGAGTGTTGTATGTCCGTGTAGGATTGTATCCGTATGTGCGTGTGTCCTTGTGTGTGTGTGTGTGTGTGTGTCCGTGCTCTGTTCTCACCATGCATGTACATGCACTTTTGCTCTCATCGATGGCAAACTGGCCATGCGCGTGCAGTTTCAAAGCTTGGAGTTGAGTGACTTTGAGAAGATCCGCGCACTCGGGCATGGTCACGGCGGGTCCGTATTCAAAGTACTACACAAACCGACACAACTCATCCTGGCAGAGAAGGTATTTGTGGTCATTGTGGAGTGTGATGGAGGTTGTGGAACAGACCAGGGCACGTGGTCTTGCGCACCTGTACTTTGCGCGCGCGCGTGTGTGTGCTTGAGTGAATACGCTTGTGTGATCATGTTCGTGCGCATTTGTGCTTGTTCATGTGTTCTTTTTCTGCCTGTTAGTGTGTGCGCATTTGTGCCTGTACACTTTGCTTTGTGTGTACACCACTCCCCACTGCTCACACATGCGACGCAAATACCCCGTGCCAACCACCCACGTGCGCTGCTGTGTGCCAACAACCATCCCCCCTCCCGCAGACCATCCGGCTTGAGGTGAAGAAGGAGGTGCGGGAGAGAATATTGCGGGAGCTGCGTGTGCTGCACCGGTGCTCGTCGCCGCATATTGTCGGCTTCTTCGGCTCCTTCTGGCACGAGGGCGAGATCCACATCCTCATGGAGTACATGGTGCGACCACGCGAGAGAGAGAGAGAGAGGAGGAGGGAAAGGGGGGGGGTGATGTTGCCACGTTTGCGCAACTGTGCGTGTGTTTCTGTGTGTGTGTATGTGTGTGTGTATGCGTATGTGTGTGTCTGTGCATGACGTTACACGGCGTGTACATGCGGTGGGCATTGTATCCTCATCTCCCTCGCCCACTACGCCCACCACCGTCATGGTTGTCAGGATGGCGGGTCGCTGGATGTGGTGCTGCGTCGTGTTGGACGCATCCCCGAGAACGTCATTGCTGTCATCTGCTCAAAGGTCGCACACATGCACACAAGCACACACACATATCTGCACACACACACACACACACACACACACACACACACACACACACACACACACGTTCTCGTCTTTGTTTGGTGCGACTTGTGTGCGGTTTGATTGGTGGTGAGTGTGCTTGTGTGTGTTGCATGTGTGCGTGTACGTGTGAGTCGTGAGTGCAAGGTGGTTCCACGTACTGACGCTTCAATATCCCTTTTCTTCGCTGTGTGTCAGGTGGTGGAAGGGCTGCTGTATCTTCACAACGAATTGAGCGTTATGCACAGAGGTGAGCACACGCGCAAGTTCAAGTCTGTGTTGGTGTGCTTATGTGCTTGTGTGTTTGCTGCTTTTGTTTGTGTGGGTGTGCTTTTGTTTGTGTAGGTGTGTTTTTGCTTTTGTTTGTGTGCTTGTGTGCTTGTGTTTGTGTGCGCCTGCACGCTTTTTCATGTGATTTCGACATTTTCTCACGTCTGCGCATCACCTTTTCAACACCTCTCCATCACTCTTTGTATGCATGTGCTCGTACAGACATCAAGCCGTCAAATATTCTCGTGAACTCGGATGGTGCAGTGAAGTTGTGTGATTTCGGGGTCAGCGGTACGTCTATCATGTGCTCCCTCTGCCTGACGCAGACGCGCGCATGCACTCGTGCTTGACGCAGACACGTATGCAAACACACATGTAAGCGCGCGAGAGACATATACATGCCCATACGCTTATGTTGCCTGCTGTGTTGCCTGGCCCGTCACTGCTCCTCACGGGCAGGTGAGCTGCAAGGATCGCTCGCATATTCGTTTGTTGGCACCAGGAGCTACATGGCGGTAAGGCCAGCACATCGTGTTTGTTTGTTTGTTTGTTTGTGTGTGCATGTGCATGTGAGTGTGTGCGTGTGTGCATGTGCATGTGCATGTGCATATGAGTGTGTGCATGTGAGAGTGCGTGTGTGCTGAGGAAACAAGAGCACATGGGAGCAATGTTGTGCATGTGTGTGTGCGTGTGTACGCATGCTTGTGCTGACGGTGCTGCTGTCATCTCATCGCCCCTTGTCGTCCTCACTCCTCACTCATCACTGCAGCCCGAGCGCCTCAAGGGCCAAAAGTACACCGTCACCTCGGACGTGTGGAGTCTCGGTGCGTCTGCACACATCGTGTTGTCGCCGCTGTAGTTCTTTTCATTGCTGCTCTTGTAAATTGCTGCTGGTCTTGTTTATTGCTGCTGCTCTTGTTTATTGCTGCTGCTCTTGTTTGTTGGTGCTGCTGCGTCAACCGAAGCCAGGGCAGCAACAGTCACCATCCCCTCGCGCTCATCCACCACCCACCATCCTCACGCCATGTCACCTCACGCCACCTCAACCACCACCACCACCGACACGTGCATGGCAGGTCTGTCGCTGATTGAGCTTGCCACGGGCCACTTCCCGATTCCGCCCGAGCGCGCGAAGGAGCTCGTGCCAATCCGCGAACCGCCAGCCACCGTCGAAGACATCCCGCCGCCACCACAGGTCGGTTGTGGTGGTGGTGGTGTTGTGGTGGTGGTGATGTTGTTGTTGTTGTTGTGGTGGTGGTGGTTTTGTGGTTGTGGTGTTGTTGTTGTGGTGGTGTTGTGGTGGTGTTGTGGGGCAGCAGTTACGCTTCCAGCATACAATTCGCTCCCATCTCACACAGCCCGTACGTTTTGCTCTCACACATACACTCTCACATCACACCAGGAGGGCGGGATGGTTGTGTTTGAGCTGCTGACGCGCATCGTGGAGGGCGAGCCACCGCACCTGCCAGATGGCGCAGGATTCTCCCCCGAGTTCTGCAGCTTTGTCGAGGCATGGTGTGTTCATCACCCCCACCACTTGAAACAAATCCGCCCTTGTGCCCCTCGTACATGCTGCTTGCTACGATTCAACTTTCCTTCCCCCCACCTGTACAATTCTCATCTGTGGGGTTCGTTTTAAGTCCGCGTCAAAACAATCACGCCCTTCCCCACCACGGCTCACCACCCACGCTCATCATCATCATCCACCCCCCCCCCCTCATGACCACGTTTCGCACTTGGCCAAACGCCAGCACGCGTAAGGCACCCGAGGAGCGGCCAAAGCTGACCGACCTTGCGCAGCACCCGTTTATCGCGGACAAGGCCAAGCTTGAGGCGGTCGACATGGCGGCGTGGGTGAAGGGCACGATGGTGCGGGCCGTGCTTGAGGAGCGGCTGGCAGAGCGCGAGCGGTTCACCCCGCTGCCGCCAACCAGCACATGAGGCGCAGGGGGAGAGAAAGCGAGAGAGGAAAAGAAAGACGGGGAACGAAAGCGGGGAGACAGGGGTGTGGGGAATTGCTGCTTGGTGTCGCTTGGTGTCGCTTGGTGGCTGTGGGCGTGTGCGTGAGCGTGAGAGCAAATGAAGTTTGTGTGTGTGTGTGTGTGTATGCGTGAGAGTGTGAGTGATTGTGCGATGGCTTTGGGCTTCTCTGTTTTTTCCGTTTTCAGGCCCAGTGGCAGCAGCAGTAGTTGTAGTCGTGTATGAGATGGAAGACGAGGGGGTGATGGCGAAGGGGAAGCGAGGGAGAGAGCTCATGCCAGCTTGCAGTGGTTGTAACGAACCGCTTCCATCGTCACATGTGTGTGTGTGTTTGTGCGTGTGTTTGCGTGTTTGTGGTTGCGTGTTTGCGTGTGTTTGCATGTGTTTGCATGTGTTTGCATGTGTTTGCATGTGCATGTGTTTGCATGTGTTTGTGTTGACTTTCCACATTTCCCATGCTTGCACACCTTACGTTTTTGCTGTTTTGTCTGTTACTGAGGCTGCTGCTGCTGCTACTACTGCTTGCTGTTTCGCTTGCCTGTACACCGAACGAGCCAAGCACATGGATGAAGTGGAAGAGATGGCTGACCGAGGGGTCGATGGCGTGGATGCGTGTTCGCTTGCACACAGACACCGACACACACAGACACACACAGACACACACACACACACAGACACAGACACACACACACACACACAGACACAGACACACACACACAGACACACACACACAGAGATCAGACAGACAGACACACAGCACACACACACACACACACACACACACACACACACACACACACACACACACACACACACACACACACAGATCAGACACACACACACACACAGATCAGACACACACACAGACACACACCCTGAATTCAGTCGCCAGATGTTTCGCCCTGTTGCTTGCTGTCCGCTTTTTCACTTTCTTTGCTGCGGTTTCTTCTCGTGCAGGCGGTGTGCAGCCACATTGCACGCAACCACAGCAGACACACACGAGACGCGACGACCGTCACCATCCCATATTGAACCCATCACAGCCTGCCAGACGTCACACCTCCAACTCCCCCGTTTTGTCAGCGCTGGACAGCCTTGTTGTTGTTGTTGATGTTGATGGTGGTGATGAGCAACGACAAGGTTTCAGCTGCCACTGCCACTGTGGCGGCAGCAACCCATGACATTGCACCTGCCACGTGCGACCGCAGTGTGTCTGTGTCGGTCGTGTTGGCAGACGATGGCGCTGACCGACGCGTTGCCGTTTGCTCCTTTCCTGATGAAAGTACAGGTGGCGGCCACTACGACGTGTTCCTTCACGTGGACAAATGCCCACTCCAAGACCAGCCAGCGGCAACAGCCCTGCACCACATCAACAAGGCGCTGGAGACCATGGGCACGAGCGTGCGGCTGACCAAGCTCCAGTTCGCCACCGTGTTTCCAATCACCCGTGATGATGACAACGACAAGGACCCTGAGCGGGACTCCGGGGGTGTCATCCAAGCTCAACGTGGCGACCCGCATTCACCATCCTCATCAGTTGCAGGGACAAAGGTGGATTCCACCGCCGGGGCTGCCAGCGCACACCTCGACTGGCTGTTCTTTGCAGTCTTGAAGCCAAACGAGCTGGACGACGTCGCGCGTGCGTGCCGGTGTCGTGGCCACGAGGTTGCTTTGCTGCCAGAAGTACGGCTGAGTGCATCCGCATACGCGCTGTCAAGCACACCATGGCTTGCGCGTGCAATTCGCTCCTTCCACCCGCTGGTTGCGGGGCTGCTCAACACCAGCAAGAAGACCGTGCCCTCATTCACCACCGCGTTGGACGAGCTGCTGGACTATCACATTGTCGATCCTTGCCTGTACGTCTTTGACAACCCGGGAAAGGGCGTGCGTAGCAAGAGCATCAAGGCGCTTGCTGACAACTTCCAGATCCACCCACACGACCTCAAGAGTCTCATGCAGAGTGTCGACCGCTTCCATGAGCTCTCGCTCGTCATTGACGACATCGAAGACCACTCTACGCTTCGGCGTGACCGTCCCTGTGCACACCTCAAGTTTGGGGTCAGTTGCGTGTGCATGCACGTGTATGTTTGTGGGTATGTACATGCATGTATGCGTGTGTGCACGTGTGTGTGTACGCGTGTTTTCATGTGTGTGCCTGCGTTAATGTACATGTGTGTGTGTCTGCGTGTGTACATGTGTGTGCCTGCGTGCATGTGTGCGTGTGTGCGTGTGTGCGTGTGTGTTTCTGCATATGTGCGTGTATGTGCGCTTGTATTTTGTAGCATGTTGGATGCTGCAGCCGGCTAAGCTTGGGTGTCTCTTCACTCCACGTGCTGCATTCTTGGACGTGGCTAACTTTCACACGCTGCACACGCTACACTCCATTCACCCTCACGTGCGCGCGTGCATGCATGCATGTATTCACATCAGATTCCGGCCACGCTGAACAGTGCATACTTTCTGACGTTCAAGCTGATCGACAGCGTGCCGCGCTTGTTTCGTCGTCACCACAACAACACCATCCGTCTGTTGATTGACGGAACCGTTCGTGCACACCGCGGACAGGTGCGCTGTTGGTGTGTGTTTCTCTGTACACGTGTGTTCATGGGATGTGTTGTTCTGTACGCACGTTATCACAGAGGACATTGCGTGTATATCGCACACATCGCAAACTCGCAGTACACAGCACACTCAACACAACAGCAACAACAACAACAACAACAACAACACACACACACACACACACTCAACACAGCACGCACAAATACACGCACGCATGCGCATCAAAGTCCCCGCATTCCTCGCTCACCTGGCATTTGCTCGCTCCGGTGTTTAATTCTGCAACTCCTTGCACAGGGCTTGGAGATTTACTGGCGCGACAACCAGTACTGCCCCACCGCCGACGAATATGTGGAGATGGTCAAGGTGCGCGTGCGTGTGGCATCGTGAGATCCGTAGTCCTCAAGCTGGCGCGGGCTACGTTGAATTTGCTGGTGGTGCTGCGAATGGTGGTGGTGCAGCCAACTGATCACGATGCACACACACACACACACACACACACACACACACACACACACACACACACACACACACACACCACACACCACACACATACATACACACACGCCACACACACATACACACATACACACATACACACATACACACATACACACACACACACACACACACACACACACACACACACACACACACACACACACACACACACACACACACACACACACACACACACACACACACACAGGGCAAGACGTCGACGCCATTTGTGTTGTCGTGTCAGCTGTTCTTCCTCCACAGCACAGACTGGCGTGTTCGCCTCTCCAGTGCGCTTGTCCCACCCGCGCAATCCATCTGCAACATGGTTTGTGGTTGCGTGTGCCTGTGCGTGGTCGTGTCTCTGCCAGCATCTTCATGAATGTTTGCACGAGTTCTTGTGGACATGCTGTTGACCACAGCCACGTGCAGCACAGTTCGTGAACACACATGTCGTTTGCACCATGTCTACTTACACCCGACGCTCACACACACACCCACACACACACACCCTCACTCCAATCCTCACTAACCTCTTCACACCCCTCTGCGTCCCCCCTCTATCGGTGTGTCAGCTTGGGCTATCCAGGTTTGCGCGGGAATGGCTGCAGCCACTGCACATTGAGCAGCGCATGACGGCGCTCTTTGAGGATGTTGGTGTCTTCTTCCAGGTCAGCACCAACTGTGTGTGTTGTGTGTTGTGTGTTGTGTGCTTGAGCGTTTCATGGCTCACTGAACCTCCCGAGTTAACACACATACACATGCACACACGCACACACACATGCACATGCACACACATGCACACACATGCACACACACACCCGTGGCATGCTCAGGTGCGCGATGACCCCGTGTACTGGCTCAAGAAAGGCTTCTGCGACGATATCCATGAGCGGAAGTTTTCATACCCCATCATCCACATGGTGCGCCCATGTGTATGCGTCGGTACTTTTCCCGACACTACTGCAAGCTCGCTAACAACTCCTTCTCCTTCCACTCACTGCCTTCTTCACCAACCACCACCACCACCATCACCACTACCACCACTGCTTCAGATCCAGAACCGGCTGCGCGGATATGAGGGCGTGCTTCGCCTCTTCTACGCAGAGCAGGCGCCCTCCTTTGACGAGATCACACAGGTATAATGCGCTGCGGCCAGTCAATTGCAGAAGTTGTCAGCCTGTTTCCATGTACAAAGGGCCCGAGTCTGTCGCACGTGTGGTCCCCCTAATTCACGTGCATACACGCACACACACATACACGCACACACACATGCATGCACACACACGTGCATGCACACACACACACACACACACACACACATACACACACATGCGCACACACACACACATACACACACATGTGCATACACGCACACACATGCATGCATAGGCGCTGGAGACGATTCAGCAGACAGAAGCGCTCCAGCACACGTTCGACTACCTGGTGGCGTTACGTAAGCGCATCGACACAGAGGCACGTGCGCTGCAAATCCAGGCGTTGCTGTCCTTGCTGGAGCGGCTATCCTTCTCGCCACCGGACCGCATATCCACTGATGTCATTGAGCAATTCAGGCCTTGCAACGACAATGGCACAGCGAAGCAGCACGCACACTGACGGAGCCGTATCGGCGCGGAGTGAGGTGGTGTGGCTCACTACTGTGGGAAGCGCAGGGCTTGAAGCACCTTTCGTTTGCCAACTCGGCAGTGCTCACACTGTTGATGTCACTAGTTCTGCGTTGTCATTGTCGCCCACACCTTCCCCCCTCCACTGCGTCCGCGTGTGTGCTTATCTCCACCCCACCGTTACACCGCGACAAAGACGCTGCTCTGGTTCAATCAAGTTATGATAAAGAGGCTACACGTTCACATTGTATTGCCTGTGCTGGCACTGGATGTTAGAATACAGTGGTGACGAAAAGCGTCGTGGGTGGGAGGCGGATAGATGAATGCACAGTAGAACGTACAGCGCTGGCACACGTTGTACAGACACGAAACACGATGTCACACACGGGGACGGACAGACAAACACAGTGAGATCTCGACAGAGACATGCAAACACACAGACGGACAGGCAAACAGACACACAGACACACAGACGGACAGACACACAGACGGACAGACGGACAGACACACAGACACACACACACATATCCCCCCCCCCCCCACACACACACACACACACACACACACACACACACACACACACACACACACACACACACAGGCACAGACACACACCCACACTCAGAATTCACACAGGCAGACACACTCACACTCACAGAGGCAGACACATACGGGGCTATTAGAGAGAGAACCACGCGGCACATGTGTCATCGAGCTCGCACGCGAGCCCGGCGACAAGGAAGACGACGGTGGTGAGGATGAAGACGCTCTCAACAAAGGGGATGGAGTCCACGAGGTGACGCACCCCCCACCAGTGCGGCGTGTTGATGCGCAGGCTCTGCCACCACCGCAGCGGCAGTGGCAGCAGGTAGGCGGTGGTGATGATGGGTCCAAGCTGCAGCTGGGGCAGCACGATGAGGTACGTGGCAAGGTAGAGGATGTTGTTGATGGCGACGGCGCGGTGCTCGCCAACCATGACAACGGAGGTGACCTTGCCCGCGGCGGCGTCGCCGTGGCGGTCTGGGATGTTCATGATGATCATGCGGTTGAGGTTCATGATGAAGATGGGGATGAGCAGGAGAACGAAGCGAAAGGTGATGCTGCCGCCTTGCAGCAGGCAGCCGACCACGGGCGTGGAGAAGGTGAGCACATACGAGACGCACACCTCGCCCAGCCCGACAGCGCTGAGGCGCAGTGGCGGCAGGCTGTAGGCAAAGGCAACGAAGAAGACGGAGACGCCAAACAGCACAAACGCGTGCGGGAGGTGGGCGAAGGTGCTGGTGACGAGCTCCAGCGCATCGTCGGTGCTCTGCGGGATATCGAGGGGCACGCCGTGTCGGATGTTGACGAAGCGGAGCACACACGCTGCGCCAGAGAGGAACGCCAGCACCTGCAGCACAATGCCGATGACCAGGGCCACGTTGCGGGAGAGGCCGCGGGAGTGCAGGATCTTGCTGCCGCCGGTCCAGGACCCGGCGTTGGTGTTGAGCTTGTCTGCCTCGTAGTCGCCGTACTCGTTGATGTAGTGGGTCATGAGGTGGGTGCACCAGACGGTGAGCTGGAGCAGGGCGCAGGACACCAGATCCACCTCGCAGCCTTGCTGCAGTGCCACCAAGACGCCCACGGCGTGGCACGCCAGGCTGTACATGAGGAACTTGGGGCGGCCCATGACAACGTAGTCCATGGGTCGCGCAGGCAGCTTCTTCGTGGCATGGGGTCGCGGCGTGTCCTCGTCAGCCTGCGATTGGAGGTGAGGGGAATGGTGGTGGTGGTGATGTGTGTCATGTGGCGACTCTGGCAAGCGGCGGTGTGTTGGGGTTGCCGGCGGTGTTGGCGAGGATCTCCTCACGTCTTGGTCGCTCATCGTGGCAGCAGGTTGGGGATCGAGCAGCCGCTGGTGGTGGTGGAGCGTGTCAAGTGGAGTGTGTCAAGTGGAGCGTGTCAAGTGGAGCGCGAGATGATTGCACTGTTTTGCAGGCCGTGAATGACGCAACGTGGACAACGGCAACCACTGACGACAAACAAGAAGCAAAGCAGGTCAAGCATGGCAAGCAGGTCAAGCATGGCAAGCAACACGACTCCAGTGGTCAAGGAGAGGGAGGATGACACGCAGCGGGTGTTGGTGATTGGCGCTGGCATCTCGGGTCTCACGCTCGGCATCTGCTTGCAGCGTGCGGGCATCCGCGTTCACCTCGTCGACAAGGTGAGTGCACATGTGTGTGCATGTGCATGTGTGTGCATGTGTGTGTATGTGTGTGTGTGTGCATGTGTGTGTGTGCATGTGCATGTGTGTGTATGTGTGTGCATGTGCATGTGTGTGTGTGTGTGCGTGTGCATGTGCATGTGAGTGAGTGAGTGAGTCAAGATTGAACCAACTGTGCCAGTGCATCGCCACCGCATCACGACTCACTGCCACCGCACCACCACCGCACCACTTCTCGCATCCCCCCCCCGCCATGCCCTTGACTCAGGTGAAGCGAATGAAGGATGCCGGGTCTGGCATGAGCGTGATTGGGCACAGCCTGCCGATCCTGCGCACGCTGGGCATCGACCTGCCAAGCACCATCGGCCTGCCGCAGACCAACGTGTCCTTGCGGCGCTATGACGGCCGCGGGCTGTTCCAGGTGCCGCTTGCATCCGACAGCGACCTTGTACGGGAGTTTGGCTCCGTCCAGTGCAACGTGCACCGCGGCGAACTGCAGCAGGCACTCATGGACGTGTTTGTGCGCGAGGGCGGGCGCCTCACCACGGGCAAGCGCTTCACCGGCCTGGCACACGCCGACACGGGCCACCCGGTCGCAGTGTTTGAGGACGGCACACGCATGCAGGCGTCGCTGATTGTGGGCGCGGACGGCGCACGGTCGCGCGTGCGCTCCTGCCTCTTTGGCGATGGCTGCTTGAGGTACAGCGGGGCGTCGTGCTGGCGGGGGTTCCTTGACAAGTGCCCACCAGCCGTGCTGCAGCTGGCATGTGCCCGTGCACACTGCATGTACAAGACGGTTGTTCATCCCACGGGTCAGAACGTCTCCTTCACCTGTGGCTGGACCACAAACGACCGGTGTTTCTGGGTTCTCGACGTGCAGCACCCCAAGGTGTGTGTATGCATACATGCGTGCGTGCGCGCGCGCGCGCGTGTGCGTGTGTGTGTGTGTTTGTGTGTGTGTGTGTGTTTGTGTGTGTGTTTGTGTGTGTGTGTGTGTGTGTGTGTGTGTGTGTGTGTGTGTGTGTGTGTGTGTGTGTGTGTATGTGTGTGTGTGTGTGCGGGTGTACTTGCAACCGTGAGGTTTGGGGCCATTCGTGCCGTTCCGCTCTCTCTCACCCTCACCCTCTCACCCTCACCCTCTCACCCTCTCTCACCCTCCCCCCCCCTCTCTCACACACATCGCGTGAATCACGTTTCCGCTGTGCACTCCCTGCACACACAGGACATCCCGGTTGATGATGTTGTGCCGTTTCTGTTAGAGCAGACGCGCGGGTTCCATGAAGAGATACAGACTATCATCAAGGCAACCCGGCCTGAGGACATTATCCAGACCGATGTGTATGACTGCCGCAGCGTACCGCAGTACACCCACAACGTGGTGCTGGTGGGCGACGCAGGGCATGCTGTGGTGCACCACTTTGGCCAGGGCGCGTGCCTGGCCATTGAGGACGCAGTTGCCCTCGCCCTGGCGCTGGACTCGGCCATACCACCACCACTGCGACAGGAGGAGGAGGGGGAGGAGGAAACGAGGGAGCGAAAGCAGCAGCAGAAGGAGCACCACCAACAGCATCAACAACATCAACAGCAACAACAACAGCAACAGCAGCGACGACGGCAGGTGGAGCGCGCTGTGACGCCTGAAGCGGCCCGGCTGGCGCTGGCGTCGTTTGCCACGTGGCCCAGGTGGCTGCGAACACGGGCACTGGTGCTCATTTCCCGGTGGTGTGGCATGGTCTACATGAACAACACGCCTGTGCTGAACGCCGTGCTCACAGCGTGCCTGGCGTGGCCCGTGAACCTGATATTTATTGGTATCATGAAGGCGCTCCTCTTCATCAGTGACCGCAGTTTGCGCCACGCCTCGCGCCGCTTCGCTAGCAGCAGCAAGCCCGCACGCGTGGACTAACGGACGGGGGAAGGTGAAAGAGAGAGAAGTGGGGGGGGGGGGCGGTGAGGAGTGATGGGCGGAGGTGATAGATATGTGGACGATGGCAAGGACAGAGGTGAAAGAAGGGTGGACGATGTGAAGGACAGAGATGAAAGAAGGGGGGGGGGATGATGGCAAGGACAGACAGATACACAGACACAGGCACACAGTCACAGACACACAGACACACACATGCACAGACACACAGACACACACAGACACACAGACGCAGACACAGACACACAGACACAGACGCAGACACACACACACACACACACAAACACTTCGGCGGATCGGAGGGTGCGTCTGCATTCCCGGTGGCCCACATTCGGCTGTAATTGCACCTGCAATTGGCAAATCAGCTCCTTTCCCAGTCGGCCACACCGCAAAACAACCAAAGCCCAAAGTGTCTGAGCAGACACCTCTAACTCATGTAAACCAACCAACAACCCGGCCAGACGGAGACAGAGAGAAAGAGAGAGGGAGAGAGAGAGAGAG